AGAGAGAGAGAGAGAGAGAGAGAGAGAGAGAGAGAGAGAGAGAGAGAGAGAGAGAGAGAGAGAGAGAGAGAGAGAGAGATCTTTGGGGCGTCTGTTCGGTGATGTCAGCATGGTGACTGCACAGGCGACGATGGAAGGTCATAGGGCACGTGTACGGTGCTTTCCATCGGACTTTCATACCGAAAAAAAAAACAAAAAAAAACAGGGCAATTAAAAGAAAGCGAAAAGGTTGCTCCTTTTTTTCCGGCGAGGTGGGTGAACCCCTCGCGCGTGACTGTTCAATATCGGCTGACTTTCGGGGTGATGAAGTGGGTGGTGACTGTTCCGCACTGTCGGGTGACTGTCGGGGTAATGAAGTGATGGGTGACTGTCGAGGGACTGTCGGCTGATTGTCGGGGTAATGAAGTGACGGGTGACTGTCCAGGGTCTGGCGGGTGATTGTGAAGGGTCTCTTGGGTGACTGTCAAGGGTCTGTCGGGTGACTTGCGGTTCAATGCCGGGTGACTGTCGGGGTAATGAAGTGACGGCCGTCCGTCTATGGCCGCTTCGGATCATCGGGGACTTGGCTCATCGGGAACTTGGCTGGACGTTCCATCGTCGCCTGGCGCAGGTAGTCTTGCATGGCTCACATGTCTAGTATATAAGGGCTCACGGAGGAGGGTGGCCATCGCGTTGATGCACACACTGGGGCACAATTCCACTAGCACACGAGTAAGGTAAAGTGTATCCCACAAACACCTGTGTGACATCTGCGGGACATCGTCCGACCACTGATGCAGGAGAATCCGATGGCAGCGAAATTGCGATGGATTTATATTCTGAAGTGGTTTTTTTTTTTTTTTTTTTGTGCTTTTTCTTTTCAGTTCCCAAGAATGGGAGGCAGGAAAATAAAATAGAAACACTTTTTTGAAGGGGTTTTTTTTTTTTTTTTTTTTTCTTTCAAACAAGCATCCATGCGGAAGCTAGGGGTGCTGGTAAGAGCAGACACCGCTAGCACCGCCGGGGAGGCTCCATCTATAGGTGGGGAGCATCACCTGCTGGAAATCGGGTCTAGCGTCCCTGAACGTTGTACTTGTTCATGTCACCGATCATGCAGTTGTGACAACAGCAGGCTAGCAAGCTACCAAGCTACCTGGCTTAGCTATCTGAATGAAATACGACAAGTAGAGGTATGCAGTTGCCTGAGCGGCATGCCTATCCGACTGCCATTGGTGAGAGATGGTAAGCCCCAGTGTCACGACTGCTGCTAGAAAAACCAACATGCATTTGTAGTGACATTCATTATGATGCCCATAACCTACCGAGTTCACTTACTCAAAAAGGGGTTCGGCCAACATGACTTACACAATAATCTGTGTTGCTAACCTACCTTACAACCTATGGTAAGTAGTGGAATGGACCAGTAATGATAGTGCAGCTGGAGGAGGCAACATGCATTTGTGACACCAGCAGACTATCGGGGTCATCTACAAAAGAGAATTTAGGCAGGTAGAACTTCAGAACATTCTGAGCCAGCCGCCCACATGTCCTTTCCTTCAACCAGTGGGTCTGCAGGCTGACTGTATGCTCAGTCCGTACAAACCCCTGTCCCTCTTCGTTACTGCTGTTGCCCACAAAAAAACATTGTCAGCCTTGAGATACCGTGAAGTTGTTGCAGTCCCATCCTTGTTCAGTGAGATCACCTGCTGATGTGTAATCGAACCGGCTGGCCGGATCATGTGTTCTGGGCAGGGAGGGAGGGGGGTAGGGGGTGGAGAGGCCAAAGAGAGGGAAGGAGGGGAGGAGGGTAAGAGGGTGTTGGGGACGGGGACCCGAGTGGGGGCAAGGGTGGGGGCGGAGAAGAGGAAGAGGAGGAGGGCAGAGGAGGGATCCTCGAGAAGGATGAGGGCGGTGGAGGGGTACTATACACATCTAGATGTGTATAAGAGACAGCTCT